AAAAATAAAGATAATGATAAAATAATGACCAGTTCTGCAAATTTGAACTGTTGGCAACGGACTGCCGCGTATCAGACACAGAAGGATTTGGGGAAAGGACCTCTCTGGAGAGAGCCCTGCCCCACCCGCGGACACAGAGGGGAGAGGGCTTCTCCTTCCACCCCAACCAAGACGGGCCTCCAGGGGACACACAGATCAACTATGGGCACCATGGGCCCCAGTGGCTGGAGCCGCTCACCCTGGCAACACCCTCACATGCAGCAAGGCCACGCCCGTGGTCCGAGACTGGCAGCAGAGAGCGCGTTCCCGTCACAGGAAGGGCCCAGCTTCTTGCACAGGCACCACCGCCGGGCCGAGCGCCAGGACCAGGCATCCCACCTCCCGCCGGAAACCCGCACACCAAGGCAGGAGCAAGGCAGCAGGCAGCCCCAGGCTGTCGGGGTGACAGCTGCCTGGGCGTTTCCTCGGGCCAACTGCAAGGCGGCAGGAGGGGATCGGCAACAGCAGCAGGCAGTGTCTTCAGCAAGGACAAGGGCAACACGTCACCAAGTTTTAGGAACCGGCAGGCCAGAGGAAGACACGACCCCAGCAGGACACAGCCAGGGAGGACCCTCAGAGGGCGGGCCCTGGGCTGCTGCACCACCGCACGCAAGAGGGGTCGTTCCAAACCCTGGTGGGGCCAGACCCGAGGTCGTCTGAGAGCAACGCCAGTCGAGTGAGAACTTCCAGCACCTTCTCTGGCTCCTCCCACCCTCAGGTAGACAGAAACTGCAGGTGGAAGTCTGGGCCAGGAGGAGCAAGAGAAGGAAGGCTGTCCTCCCACAGAGGCCCGCAGGAGAGAGGACGAAGCCCGACTTGGGGCTGGGACTCACGCGTGGGCTCTCACGGGAGCGAATGCACCGCGTGGCCGGCTGCAAGGGCGGCGCCCTGAATCAAAGGTGCAACTTAGCTCCCTAAAAACGAAGACAAAAGCCGCAGGTCTACACACAGCCTTAACCAAAAGCTGGAGAAGACGTCTTCCGCTGAGTAAATATGACAAGAATCGCGCAAAGCGCTTTCTGATTGCGCACCAGGATGCGGAGTTTTTTTCAAAGTGCTGGCTACGAGGTGCCACATCCCCTGCAGGCCAGAAGCAAACGACAGCACCCGCTGTCACTTGTCACGCAGGGTGCCAACTGACAGCTGACACTCTGCTATGGGGACAGGCACTGGTTACGCCACCAGGGCACCCACCTGTGACGTCCAGGCGGAAGGAGACCCTCTGGCCCCCGGCCTCGCAGCTGTACTCCCCGGCGTCCGCCCTGCCCGCCTGCGGCACCACCAGCCGCCTCTGCTTCCCCTTTGCCTCCACGCGCACTTGGGGGCTGGCGCTCAGCTGCTTCCCGTCCTTGTACCACGTCACCTCCGTCTGCGCCTGGGCCACCTCGCAGCTCAGCGTGGCGCTGGCCCCCGCCTCGGCCCGCACCTCGCTGCGCTCTGGCTGCTCCTTGGCAAACACCAACTTGGGCTCTGGGGACAGACAGGGAGGGACACAGGGTTAGAGACGCCAGACCAGACCCAGCCCATCTGTCAGGGCCTGGGGCTCGCCCTGAGCCCAGCGGTGGCCACGGCAACAGTGTCGGTGGGACACTGGGCAGGGCACCACTGTGGGCGGCAGTAGCCGCGGGTTCTGGCGCTGTGCTGACAGCACCTCGCGCTGCCCTTTGCGGACAGACAGCCCTGCCCCAGCTCAGGTCTCCTGGGCACCCAGCCTGTCACCCCTCCCACCACGCAGAAGGGGCAGACAGGGGCACAGGGCAGGGGCAGGAGGGACGGGCCTCCTCGAGCACCAGACCGGGAACCCGAGCCCTCGCTGGCCCAGGGCTCACAGGCACGGTCAGAGAGCCGAGCGCCAGGCAGCCAATCACGCGCCAGCTGAGTGCCAGGTGGGCCTCGGGAGAGCGGTGGCTGCGCTACGTGTGGTCTCCTGTGCCCAGGCTGAGTGACAGGGTGGACCGGATGAAGGCAGGACGTGAGGAGGGAAGGACAGACGGACACGTGGTGATCACCAAGGGGCCAAGCACATAGCGATGGGCGGGCACCGGGGCTCCTGCCACCTGCGGGGCCTGCCGTCCAGGTACGGGACGTCCCCTCTCCACATCCCCAGACAACCCGCAGAGGGGCTATCGGACCACATCAGACCCAGACCCCAGAGCCCCTGCACACGTCACCCCACCGTCCCCATCACTCCCAGCTCGGCCGTGGGCCTGCTCTGCTCTGATGACAGGATGACACTGGCCGGGAGCCACCAGGCAGAGCTGGGGACACGGCTCTGAGGCCCACAGAGGGGAA